TTGTGATTCTCATTTAAAAATTAACTATAAGTAATAAATAAGTTTAGGAAGCATTCAGCATACGTTTTGTATAACTCTAGTATGATAATGATTAAATGTAACAGTCATAGTCTGCTGCTGAAGGTTACAATGTAGGTGTGGTCTAGGCAACATACAGCAAGCTGTGGTGATTATGTTTCTTAGTGTCCCTTTTAAATATTACTTTCACTATCAGTAGGTTGTCTACCAAAGTGCATGTATATTTGGCTTTAAATCTGCAAGTGTCACTGCACCACTAAACATAAGTGAAATCAGGTCCGCTCAATACAAGATTATTTAGAAGATATAGAAGGCTGTCAGTCTCCGAAGTGAGCCAAGGTCTGTTGACAGGTGTGTGCAGGACTTGTCAGTACCATGTGTGGATATATTAATTAATATATTAATCTTTGTGCTCATGTACCTGTGTCTAATGTGTATATAAATGCCTGTATATAATGTTTGTATGTGTGCTTCTGCATACTGTATGTAGGAAATGGTTGGTGGGTAGATAGGTGAATCAATTAATGCTAATAGGAATAAAAAATCCTACACGTACTAGGAGATCGCCTAACAGATAACTCAAAACACTCTATGATTTACTCTATAACTCAGACTGCCCTCAGCAAGCATAAATAGATAATATGCATGTAAACTTAGAGCATAAGAGGTGGAAAAAAAATAAATAAAATTGGGAATTGACAATCAGCATATGACAAGATACTTGTTGGACTTGATATGTGAAAAATCTAAATACCAGCCTTATAACCTTTGCAGCTGGATGTAGATAAGTTTAGATGTTGGAAATACAGATATAAAAAACTATACACGCCACTTTTAAGGGGATGGCTGACTAAGCAGTGGGTTGGAAGGGCAACAAATAAATACTTCAAAAAAATCTTTGAATCACACTTTTAGATCTTATCAGACCCCTCTAATACAAGTGTGAGGGTGATGATCATAAGTTCGAAAATAGAGGGAAATAAATGTCCAATATAAGTCTCTAAATATAAAGTCCAAATGGCAGTCTCTAAGTAACAGTATCACAGCTGGCACAATGTGCTGCTGCCAAAAAAATTGACAGCAGCTATAATGTATCCAAAGCTGATATAATATAACCAGTATGGTATGAAGCTGTTAGATGCAGAAAAATCAGTTTTCGTATACTGCAGTAAAAATTACAATTAATCTTAGATCACAGACACAGATCTACAGTGATAGAGTCTTCTCTGTGATCTGAAATGTACAACAAACACCCATAGTGCTTTCCATTAAAACTTACAAATTTACTATAGGGAAGATAAAACACACTCACAAAGTGGCAGTGTTGTAAAGCAGCTGTAGAGTCTTTAGGGAACAGCAGGATCGGGAGACTGTTGAAATGATGGTGGAAGACCTTCATCCGGCCGGTTAGAAGGTTTGGATATGGGGAAGAGGTGAGGTTCCCCTCGCGTGCTTTCTACCTCGTATACCTGACCTGCGTTCCACTGAGACTCGGTTTCTGGATGTACTTTACTGCCGTAAAGCCCAACGTGTTTTGTGACTCGGCAGGGTCACTTCATCAGAGGCTAGTGATTGTCTGAAGCTGGTACTTCGGTTAATATAGCGCTCACGATCATTGATAATGACCGGCGACTGCATGCTGGGATCAACTGAGATAACAGAGATGGCGCCTACTTGATATAAATAGCCAATTATACAGCCCAATAGCAAATGTATAAATAAACAAATGTATACATACATGAATAATTAAACACAGTACACAAACTGGGAGCTAAAAGCTAATAAATACATACATATTAAAATACACAAAGTGTCTATATGTGTCTTCATGTTTGAAAATGAATGAATAAAATATTATTTATACATTTACAATCTATCTCATTATAGAAATGATCCGAACTGGAATAGGTGTAACAATTATGTTAGCATTAACACCCAAAAGCTCTTGTATATTAAAAAATAACAAAAATAACAAATCAGTGTCAAATAGAAAAAATGTGTATCAAATAGGAAAAAGATATGGTCATCAAATAAGTTAGAAACGGATAAGAAATCAATCAATCAATCAGTATAACCAGCTGTAACTATGATAAAAGTGAAGCCAACAGCTTACACTATTAAGAATGGATAAAATTAGGAATTAAAAATAAATAATTATTATACATACTTAATATTTAAATTAGTTCTAAGTATGAATACTCATTAAAAATAACAGTTTCAAGTTCCTCAAAAAGCTGCGGCAGGGGTGAGGAAAAAGTGTGAGGGAGCTCTTGTTGGTTACGTTTAACATGAATGCAGATATAGGGACTAAGCTGTTTGTAAAAGAGGTCCAATTAAAAAAATTAACAATTAGTTGATACTAAACATATTGGAATACTCTAAAGGGACCTGTTGGATGTCCAAAAAACAAGGTCCTATTACAGGCAGGTATGGAAGAAGGAAGAACTAATGTGTTAAACAACAGGAGGCTATCACTGAGAATGCTAGACTCACCAAATTACTAAATCAACTAGCGATTACAGTTATGAACTAAATATAGATCAGGAATCTGGAAGGCTTGATTGCTGTAGGTTGTGATAAAAGCTGGAAGAGTGACAAGATCTTGCATTCCTTTATTCTTAGTTTCCAATGTAGTTTCTCTGGGTAGGCTTGGGGCTTGTTGTGATGCTTTATCCAAAAGCTCTATTGAATAGCCTTTAGCTAAAAATCTTTTAGTCATAAAATCCATTTGAATTACCACTACTTCCTGCTCCGAGCAATTGCGTCTTATTCTCCTATATTGATTATAGGGAATATTATCCAGCCAAGTTTTTTTGTGGTAGCTGTTAGCTGGAATGAAACTATTACAGTCTACAGATTTCTTGAATGTTTTGGTGTGGATCATGTTGTCTTTTATATAGATATCTAAATCAAGAAATTCTACATGCTCCTGTGATTGATTAAAGGTGAACTGTATAATAAATCCAATGTGGAATCATGTCCGTTCCAAATAAAGATGACATCGTTGATGTATCTTTGCCAGAGGACCAGATTTGCACTAAAATGGGATGGGGACCAAATAAACTCGTCTTCCCATTTACCCATAAATGGGTTGGCGTAACTAGGAGCAAATCTGGTCCCCATGGCTGTCCCTTCTGTTTGCAGGTAAAACTTATCATTTGCCCAGAAAAAATTCAGACTCAGAATGAATGCCACACATCTGACCAGAAAATCGATTTGGTCGTTTTTTTAGTTCTGTATGTGTGGCTAGAGCATTTTGAACCAGTTCACATCCTTCCAAGTGCTCAATCACTGTATAAAGTGATGTCACATCAGCTGTAACTAGGATGTATGCATATTACCACTGTTTTTGTGACAGGATCTTAATGATCTGAGTCGTATCTCTTAGGTATGATTTAAGTTTCATTACAGGTTTTTGTAAAAACTAATCCACGTACTCCGAGAGGTTCGATGTCAGAGAGCCAATGCCTGAGATGATAGGTCTTCCTGGAGGATTGACCAGCCTTTTGTGGATTTTCGGGAGGTGATAGAACACCGCTGTTACAGAATAACCCAGTGTAGTGAGGGTTAATACTGATTAAGGAATTCACCTTTACAAGGGAACAGCAGCTCACGAACACTCGAACCCACCGAACGGGAAACATACAAAATCCTTCTCTCCTGGAACAGGCAAAATAATACTCCACAGTAGCAATCCCCCCAATTACGAGACCAAGCTCCATATTGAGGGTAAAACAGGATTCTGCCCAGTATTTATGCAGGTCTCCCACCTGGTGGAGACTCCCCTAGGGGACCAGTTGGGAGACTGTGACAAAGGACAGACGCATATCAATGACAGACATACAAGGGGTAAAACATTCCCAGGATACACTGCGTTCCCATCTCTCTGTTCTGGGGATAATTGGGAAGCAATTCAATTATCTCCCAGGACAGAGGCAAATCAAAATTACCCACGAGGAGAGGTATATGCAATAAAAAACACACCACGAATGATACATAAAACATATACATGTAACACATCCCCAGATAGCTTAGGTCTGAGCGCACATTATAACTGAATGGCGCTCACACCACACACATACAGTTGCCTACGGCGTTTGGCAAAACGACCGGAGCTAGAGGCAGGGAAGGCTGGCGGCTCAGCGGTGTTCGCGAGTAAAAGTGTCTGCTTTTAGTTCACTGAGGCTGGGCTGAACACCGTTGGCTGTCCGGGAGCTGTAGAATGCCGCCACACACCAGCTTCCCGTTGGTCGCGCCTTCGTGCGTCTTTTGGGAAATAACAAGGGAACACACAGGGACTGTACGAGCAAGGAAATAACCGAACAAACAAACGAACGGCGGGAGAATAAACACAATCCACAGACAGATGGTTCTGTCACAACCACTAACCTTGGGTGTTTGCATCTTAGGTAGTCGAATTCCCTTTTATTAAGGATGCCTCTCGACTTACCATCCTCCAAAAGGGCAAATAGTTCTTTTTTTATATTCATCACAAGGATTTTCTGGTAGGATCGTGTACGTCTCTGTATCACTCAGTAACCTTCTGCTTTCTGATGTGTAGCCGTAGAGATTCATAACTACTGTCATCTTCCATAAGGTTCTTCAGGGATGATCTCTCTTTTTTTTGTTAAATTGTCTTTTACTTCAGGTCTTTCTTTTATGGAAGTTTTTTTCTCGAAGACTTTGATATAATCATTCTTGGCTTGTTGTGGATAGAAAGTGGATCTTGGATGAAGCTCGGTATGCTCATAAGATGTAGAGGGATCCTTAGAGTAGGTATTCTCAGAGAAAAACTTATTGATGGTTAGTTTTCTAACATATTTGTGTAAATCAATAAAAATGTTTATTGGAGTTATTCATGTTTGGGCAAATTTCAGTCCTTTCTGGAGCAGTCGTAGTTCTTCCTTTTCTAGAACCCAATCTGACAGATTAAAGACTCCTATTACTTCTGTCTCCTTGGACTTTGGAGTCGTTCTATGGGCTCATCTTCTTGTTCTCTTCTTATTCTTTTTCTTTTGACTGGAGACAGATTTAGGTCTCTCCTCTCTTGCCATGCCCATTTGGGGGGAGAAAAGTCTCCTAAAAAATTGTTCAAAATAGGGTACTTGGGAATGGTGGTGTGAGAGGTTGTATTGGCTGTTTCCTTCCTCTGAATAGGAGTCCCTTGATGTGGTTCTTCTCTTCCTTTGGGTCTCCTTGGAGATTGGTTGGTTTTGGTGGGTGTCCACCTGTGCTATCCTCTCCTTGCTAATGTAGGGTCGATGATCTTCATTTTCCTTCCTTTGATGGTAATACATACAGGTTCTATGAGGACAATACTGGGATTGATACTGTAATGAGATACATCTTGGAATGATCTAGTCTTTCTTGCGATAGTAAGGATTAGGGTTTCCGGATATATTCCAGTTCCTTTGTCTGCCTTAATCATAGTCATTTTTATCTCTCAGCATTTTCTTTTTCTTGATCTCCCTAATTCGTATTTCTAAGTCCTTGACTCTTCTTTCTACTGAGTCCAAAAGTTCAGCATGAGATTCTTCTACTAGGGGAGTGAGGGTATCTCTGAGCTCCTGGATTTCTTTATCCAGTTGTTCTAGGTCTTTCTTATTCTCATTGATTAAGAAAATCATCAGCAGAAGGGGGCCCTTATCTAGAAGCTGGTCCCATTTGGTATGGATGTTATGATCGTCCTTTTTGTATGTTAGAGGTTTATGTAACCTTAATCCTCTGGGTACTAGAATGTTAGATACATACAATTCAAAGCTTGCTATGTCCCATCAGATATGGACTTCTCTTTACATTAATTTGCCCAGTTTATATATTTGGGATTTGGTGTCTAAGACTGTTGGTATATCTGTACTGGTGGATTGATGGTTGTCTGTTAGACTTTCAGTCATGATTTGATCAAAAAGGTAGGTGAATCAGTTTGCGTGGTCGATAAGTACAGGTTGTTTGGTTTGGGGTGCTGTGTGACTGAGCTGGTATCACCAGGTGACTAGGTGGGTAGAGTGGCTGGGTGAATGTGAGTCATGTATGCAACAGGTTGCTGGAACGTGACCAGGTTTATGACAGCTGAATGTAACAAAACAGGGCTGGGGTATCTAAGTAGCATTTGTAAAAATACTATGTTCACAGTCAGTTCTTAAGGTAGATCACCTGGTTGTGTTCCTGTTTTCAACTACAGCTTCTGTTCTGGTGAGTATAGTCAGTCCATGCAGGCTCTCTGCTGTAAACACTGTCTTTCCAGAGTAAAGGCAGTGTTTACATTGCTCTGTAGGGACACCTCCAATGGCAGTCACTCAGACAGCTACTAGAGGTGCTTCCTGAGTTGTGCAGCACTGACGCTGAACATTTCTCATAGTGATGCATTGATTCAGTGCATCTCTTTGAAGAGATGCTGATTGGCCAGTGCAGCATTTGGCTCTGCCCCGTCCCATCTCCTTGGCTGAGAAAACCAGAATTGACAATCCCAATCAATCCAATACTTTCCCCTAGGAGTATTATAGCTTTTTAAGGAGTTGGGGGTGTAGGGGGGCACCTAAATAGCTTCTTTATTTTTTTAACAATACAGGGTTAGGAATACTCATTTGTATTCCTTACCCTATAGTGTTCCTTTAAGGTATGGCAATATGTAAATTACTGAATTTTATTTCATTTTTGTATCCGTGCACATCATATTGTGCACAAGATCACTGCTTTATCCTAAATTTAGGCTGTAGCTATGCATCACATTTTTCAAATAAGGGATAGTACTTCATTTTTTTTATTGGAAAAATCTCAGTAGCATGAGGATTAATCTATTTGAGTGTAACACTGCAGTCTTTGTTATGGCTTCATATTCGGTAGCATATTACTTGGCTTTCTTCTAAAGTAGCGTTTTATATCAGACATTATTTCTAAGACCAATGAGCATACCTTTCCAGTCAATATATTTTAAAATGTAAAGCATCACTCATGCATGTTTGTTTCTGTAATTAATCAGTTTATTGCTCATTTTAAAAAATGATGTGCTATAAATATCATAGAAGTCGCAAGGTGATGCTGTCTACCCAATGACTGCGGTCTGATTAGCTTTGCAATAATATACGAGCTGCAAGTCTTAATCTTACATGCTTTATGACACTGACTCTGTATACAGACAGTTATAGTTTCTGATTTATATTTCAGAGTTTTGTACTCCATTAAACCACAACTTTTTATCTTTTTCAAAAATATTATTTATGCATTCATAAACATGCAGTGAATATTGACTCAGACTTCTTTACCAAAAGTATGTTTTACCAGTGCAGCTCACTCTTTATTTATCATCTATCATGTGCTCTTCCATGTCATAGCAATGGATACAATGGTCAGTGTTCTGCAAATGGCACATTTGATTATATACCCACACCAAGAGACATACTTCTCATTTTGCTGACTCCTTATAACAAAAAAGTTGGAGTAGAATTTGAAAAGTGAGAAAGGAAATGGGGAATTCTCAGAAAGCATTGTGAAGCAGAGAGAGGTAGGTGGACAGCAGGAAGAAACAGTTATTGAGTCCGCGAGATAGTATTTTAGTCTTGAAAGGTATAGAGAGATGTAAAAAATAGTAATATTAAATATTATTAACATAAATTATATCCTACATAAATTGTCCCCTGTCGACTGTATTATTCTTCATGCATGCAGAAGATCAGCGTTTGCAAAGTGGAAATAATAATAATAATAATAACAAAGTATTTAACCAGGAAAGGTACATTCAGATTGCTCTGGCTTTGAAGTACGTCCTGGGGGTGTTACTTTTGCCCCACATGCAGGGTTGTTACTATTACCCAATTTAATGGTACTCATTTTATCTACCTCGGAAGGATGAAGGGCTGAGTTGACCCTGCCGGGATTTGAACCTGCGACAATGAGTCAAACATATTAGATTTATTATTGCTAGAGAAAGAACCATAGGCAGGCCCGGACTGGCCATCGGGCACACCGGGCAAATGCCCGGTGGGCCGCGGTGTCCGTGGGGCCGAGGCCGGCAGGGGAGGTCCCAGGATCTCCCCTGCCGGTCTATGCAGGGCCGGCACTCTCCTAGCGCCGGCCCCGCTGTTTGCCACGACGGGCCGGTGGGGAGATCAAAGATCTCCCTCACCGGCCCACATGCGGCCGCCGGCGGGGAGGGAGGGAGGGAGACAGCCAGCCAGGCTGGAGAGAGGACCCGGCGGAGCTCTAATTTGCAGCTCCGCCGGGTTCCTCTCGCGAGATCCGGCGCGTTGCCATGGCAACGACCGGATCTCGCGAGGAGTTCACTCACCCACGAGGACCACCAGGGAACACTGCCTCCCCGCCTCCAGTCCCAGCGTGCCGGTCCCCCCCTCCCAGGCTAAAGGTAAGAAGGGAGGGGGGGGAATAATACCTGTTTTTTTTTTTTATTTACCCCCCCCTACATACACACAATAACATTTATACAGCACTCTCACACCCATCACACACAGCACTCTCTCTCACACCCATCACACACAGCACTCTCACACACACACAGCACTCTCTCTCACACAGCACTCTCACACCCATCACACACAGCACTCTCTCTCACACACAGCACTCTCACAGAGCACTCTCACACACACACAGCACTCTCTCTCACACAGCACTCTCACACCCATCACACACAGCACTTTAACACACACACAGCACTCTCTCACACCCATCACACTCACAGCACTCTCACAGAGCACTCACACACACACAACACTCTCACAGCACTCTCACACCCATCACTCTCACAGAGCACTCACACACACACAGCACTCTCACACCCATCTCACATACCCATCTCACACAGCACACTCACATCCATCACTCACACACAGCATTCTCACACCCATCACTCACACACGGCACTCTCACACCCATCTCACACAGCATTCTCACATCCATCACTCACACACAGCATTCTCACACCCTTCACTCACACACGGCACTCTCACACCCATCACTCACACACGGCACTCTCACACCCATCACACACCGCACTCTCACACACACATACTGCACCCCTCACATACACACAGAACCCCCCCCAACACACTGCACCACAAACATACACAATACTTCCAAATATATATATATATATATATGTATACACGCACACACTACACTCTTAAAGGACCACTCTAGCCACCCAGACCACTTCAGCTTAATGAAGTGGTCTTGGTGCTAGGTCCTTCTAGGGTTAACCCATTGTTTTATAAACATAGCAGTTTCAGAGAAACTGCTATGTTTATCAATGGGTTAAGCCTTCCCCCAAAGCCTCTAGCAGCTGTCTCATTGACAGCCGCTAGAGGCGCTTGCGTGCTTTTCACTGTGAAAATCACAGTGAGAGCACGCAAGCGTCCATAGGAAAGCATTATAAATGCTTTCCTATGCGACGGCTGAATGCGCGCGCAGCTCTTGCCGCGCGTGCGCATTCAGACGGGGCGGATCGGAGGAGGAGAGCTCCCCGCCCGGCGCTGGAAAAAGGTAAGTTTTAACCCCTTTACCCTTTCCAGAGCCGGGCGGGAGGGGGTCCCTGAGGGTGGGGGCACCCTCAGGGCACTATAGTGCCAGGAAAACGAGTATGTTTTCCTGGCACTATAGTGGTCCTTTAACATACACACTCTGGATCCCCTATACACACACTAGATTCCTTGTAAGCAAACACATACTACACCCCTAAACACACACACACACTATAGCCTGTATGCACACACTTGCTATATCCCCAATACACACATTCTCTACAGCCCATAGCCACATATGCATCACATTACACCACAAACACAACACGACTAAAACCGACCTTATTACACAATACCACACCACGACCAGCTCACTCTACACACACGCAATACCACAAGCAGGCTCCAAACACATGCACAATACTCTTTCCTGGCCTTTTGTCTCCTGGTATCCATTTATAGAGACACCAGAGACAAGTTGCAAGGAAACACAGTGCAAGCATGTTATTAATTTGCTTGCACTGTGCAGAACAAATACAGGACTTTTTTCTCATGCTAGAGCTCTTCAGCAGAGCTCTGCGCATGGTCTGCCCTGGAAGAGCATTGAACCAACATGCTCACTTTGAGAGGAGGCGTGTCTGTCATTGGTGACAAAACACACCTCCTCTGCCCCGCCCCCTTTTTAGTGGGCCGCTGTGTTAAAAAAATGCCCGGGCCGAATTTTTCTCCCAGTCCGGCCCTGACCATAGGTGTCCATTTTCATTAGATCAGTTAGTACATACAATTCACAAATATTCCTTGAGTTCTTATATATACTGGTTCTAAAG